CCCCAAAACCCCAAAACCCCAAAACCCCAAAACCCCATAAATTTACTCTGGCCCTGAATACAACAAGAAGATAATTTTAATCCAAAATGGGACCAGTGAATTCACAAGTTGTGAAATCTCGTCACTCCATAGTCTCCACTAAGGAGTTAGCAAAGCAGTTGTTTAGAGACCCAGTGTCTGGGAAGGCAGCAGGGGCTTATGAGTTAAGGAAGGATGTGCATCCGAAACTTAAGATATTGGATTCGAGTGAGGGAGGAGCTGGGTGTTTAGGAGGGTTTGAAAAGACAGCAATTCCTACAGCTAGACTTCTGAACTTACAAGATAACCTGAAGGATACAACGACTGGGCTCCCTAATAGTTTCCCTACTCCTGAGATTGTTAGAGATGTACTAGGGGAAATTGGGATAGAAAAGGATGATAAGATTGTTGTATACAACCAGCCGGGCAAATTTTCAGGGGCCACAAGAGCCCACTTCATCCTTAGCAGGTATGGTTTCGATGCCTGGGTCCTCGATGGTGGACTGAGGAAATATATGACTGATGGATATCCAACAGAAGAAGGCAAAGTCTACACTGGAGAAAAGACTAATATTAAAGGTTTGACAGACCCGAGGGATTCCATAGCATTTTTCGATGAAATCAAAGAATTTGAGCAAGGAAAGAAAAAGGATATGCAGGTAATTGACCTCAGACCAGCCTTCGGATTCAATGGAGAGGATCCAGAACCATTTCAGGGGTGCAGACAAGGATCTGTGAAGGGATCTATCAACATTGAGTATAAAAACTTCTTTAATGAAGACTCTACCTTCATTAATACAGAACAATTGAAGGAGTTATTCATGAGATATAATTTAGACACAAAGAAGCACACTATTTTCATGTGTAAGACCGGAATGCTTGCAACTATCGGAGCTTTAGGTAAGTTTAGCCATTATATTATCTAGTTGCTGGTTCGGATATCCCATCTAAGCTCCCATTCGAGAAGATTCAGCTTTATGACGGAAGTTGGAGTGAATATGGTTCATTGAATTAAGTAATCACGTATTTTCAATACTCAAGACTGTTTTAGGGGTTTTGGGGTTTTGGGGTTTTGGGGTTTTGGGG